CAATTCTTGTTAAAATAAAAAACACCACAACTTTTTGGTTTATGTTAAAAGTATAATATAATTCTAGTAATATAAATTTTAGATGTATGAAAATAAAAACATTGTTTGACGTTTCAACATGACAAGTGTTGATAAATAACTTGAACGTTTAAAAGACAAAGAAAAAAAAGACAACGCCCGCATTAGGAATATATATTCCTGTGTCGCGGGGGACTTTACAAACATACATTTAACGGACACAAAGAACACCCAGACTCAGAACAACAATTTGTGGATCACACAAAGTGTCGTCCCATGTGGGGTTTGAACCCACAACACTCGGCGTAGTAGGAAGCGGCGTGGCGACCGCTGAAACCACTACGCCATCCGTGCAGTCGATTACGAATTAACGTTCCGTTATAACCTCTATCTAGACATTTTTTTAAATTATTTATTATATTTAATTTTGGACCAACAACAAGCTTGTTAATATGTTAACATTAGTACACTAGCCAATAATATACTTTATACAAATTTACAGAAATTATGTTCGTAACAGAAAATTAGTCTTTAAATAATTAGCTAATAATTAATTTAGAATAATAATGTCAATTATGCGGAAACGTAATTGAGAACAGACTGTAAGTTCAAATCAATACTTGAAACCAGTTTCAACTGAGTAAAACTTAAAACACGTTCTATAATAAGATCGATGCTTAAGTTTTGATCTGCACTAAAAACTACTTTCAGGCAATCAGAGTTCAACCGATACTTGAGATGTCTTTTTCAATACGGGCCTAAAACTTGTTTTATATGAATTTAATTAACAACCCTTTTGTTCAACAGTCTATTTTCGTTTCATCGAGTTTCAAATCACAATCTAAAGAATCAGATCACTCGACAGAAAGTATAAGGTCATATGGTAGATGCTACTAAATTCATTCAAGTTAAGTTAAACGAAACTACGACATTCTGTAGTCTCGCCCACTTATTTTACAGCTTATTAGTATCTGCAAAAAAGCGGATGTTTCGGCATAATTATTTGTAACACTTCTGTTACAGTCAATTAAGCACGTAATCAATGATTTGTTCTGAAATACACTAATACAATATGTTCCGCTCCCAATCGTTTGGAATGCGTAACACAAGGTACCACAAAATTCCTACTAAAATGATGGAGTTACAATTAAATGCTACATGTAGGTTTGGAATCGTCATTAATAATTTAACTTAATTATTACATTGCAATTTAAACAACTAAGATCCCGTGGATATAAGGTTAATTAAATTCAAATATTGCAAATTTTTCATAGATTCCTACACCATATTCTATTTTGAGCATGTATTCGACTGTTAAACTATACGTAATATTGCTTACAACTTTATAATTTCATAGCTTTTACTTAGCGGTCGTGGCACTTTATACAAAACTGCCGATCCCAACTTACACGACGTGAAAGCTGCAAAATATATAAGCACTGAATTATCTATTACTCAAAGTACGTTATGAATTCATTAGAAAATATTACAATTTGCAAATAGAAAGTGAAATGAATGCTTAACATTGAGTCATCAAATGAAGGCTTTGTGTAAGATATGCAAATTGTGACTATTGAAATGTCAAGATACACTTGTAAATAATCCGACAGAAATATATTGATGTGTAAGTAACAGTAATTTTCGTTATTTGATATGGTCATTACGAGCTTGAGTGAGACGAAGCGATAGTTAATACGAGTTCATTGAGTTAAAATATGTCATGCTATGTTATCGGGAGAATTGATCAGCTGGCAGCGACAGGTAACTTTATGAGATGAACTTGGCGAAAGAATAAGTATTTTTGAAGTAGAAATGGCTATTGTATGGCTAATGGATATGTGTGTTTTTGGTATAATTTGTTTCTTTTTTCATAATAAATTCGATCCGGTTAACCTGTTCTTTTTAATGAAGATGTAAACTTACAGCTAACAAAAGTCTATGGTTTATACCTTTACTTAAATATAATGAGTAGTTACTAGTTCTGTTACCGATCAGGCCCCCATTACTTAGGAAAATTAATATCGAAGCAGTATTTTCAGTACAATGAAATTGTACATATTAAATCACTGCTAAACTACACCAATTTCGTGAATGAATTTATATATCTGTGAAAATTTGCATGGGTTCAATTGAGTCCTATAGTCCTTAACATATAAAAATGACTTTAAACTACAGTTCTACAAACATATTAGTCCTATATATGGTATGTATTATTTCTAAGTAAATATAAAAGATTTTCTTTTTTATTTCAAATATGATTTTTGAGTCTGGCCTTTGTTTCGGCATTATTTACATTACACTTTTAACAATCATTTGATTCCTTACTCTCAAAGGCATATTTAATTAATTAACTTTTTAGAAAATCTGGGAATATGATTTCCATCATCCTTCCCAATTGTTTATCCTTCTTAATTGATAGAGGTTTTCATTTCTTTTTGTTTTTTTTGACAGTCCTCTTTCGTGTTTAGATAAGATTGAATAAAGATGAACATAAATATCAAAGCTGTTTCCCAAAACCAGCGATATCTATAACCACACCTACTTCATAAAATATAAATATCAAAATAATTTTTATATAACTTATTTAATTATATTTCAAAAAGGAAAGAAAAAGACCTCCCTTTTTGTAATGTATATTATATATTTGTCCTCACATGGATGTGAGGACAAATTACGTAGTGACCAAAAGAAAATGGAAAAAATTGATAGTATCGGATCTTATATAAAAATCTTTTCGGTTTGATATTGTCCAACCTTTCTTAGAGCAGTCAAAAGTATGTGAGATATTACAAGGAAGAATCTGAACTAAATGAAAGGCAACAAGAACTGAGTAGAAAAATCATCCTTCTCCTTTGCATCACATCAACAGCCTTTAATAGTCCACTGCTGGACATAGAGTTAGAAAGGAGGTTTCGGCCTACTGTACCACGCTGGCCAGGCGGATTGGTATAGGGTTAGATTCAAGTTTTCTTTCTCTTTTTGCAGTGCTGTTGTCCTGCGTAGTTTGCTCCCTTAGTCGGCTTTTAAGACACCCAAGGAATGAACCGACCCACTCCGTATTCTTAATCCGTCATCACACGAATATCTCTTTTGCGTGGTAAAGATAAACAAGGGGGTAAACATGGGGGGAGGGTCGGAAAGTCGTGGTATCACTCCACTCGAGCCGGCCCATATGTGCCGCAATAGGACTCGTTCACGATTAAACTAGTACTTAAGATAAAATACATTTCTCTATACAACACTTTAAATAACCAATCAGTACTGATGATTTTAGTCGAATTATATTGTAGCAGGTACTCTCAGATAACAATAATTTTAGTAGCTTTTAGTTACAAGAGGCGTTCTCCTTATCATGGACTCGCTTCCGTCGCTGACGCCCACAAACTTGTACACCGTGATATATGCGTAACTACATACGTATAAAATAAACATATTGTATACATTGAATGCAGAAACAGTGAATTAATACTTAATTCTAATTTTATAGTACATACGTTATTATTTACGAAAGAAAATGTACGAAAGAAATAAAAAAATGAAAATGAAATCTAGTTTTTTGGATTTGTACGGATGGAACTTTGAGTGAGTTTTGAAATTGCATGAAGATTGCGGGAATATAAGGATGCCTTAATCATGTAATCATTTTCACATACCTATCTTGTTGAAGAGATCTATAAATTAATTCCAAGGAAGGGTGCGGTTAAGTAGGACTACTGTTACAAAATAATGTATATATTTTGATTTAGCGCTCTTAAGGAATTAGAAACCAACAGATATATGAACAGCATGTTCTGGAACAAGCACTTTTCATGAATATCAGAGTCAAACGCTAGTTCCAAAATCTATATAAAACTGAAAAGCGGTACTCTGAGTTAAAAACAGAAGTCAATTTTCAGAGTATTCCCATAAGTTAAATTGTATTTTCGTTGTATTGACCATACGAAGCTTCCTGTTTATATTATTGAAGTACATTCTGGTACTACAGACTTTTATAGTGATAAACGTCACTTAAATCGTGTCACCACGACCAAACATGTTTTATGAACAGCCGCTAACTAGTTGGATGACCCACTCTGTTGTGATTTAATTCAACATGTTGCTATCAAAATCCATTGACATAAATGCCAACTCTGTTGATATTAAAGTCGTTTATTAAAAAAATTAATCTATCTGTATATACCGTAATAAAAAACAACAGTTGTCAACTTCACCCAGTGGTTGCTAATTAGTAAGTTTCATCATCATCATCAACAGACTAGCAGTCTACTGCTGGACATAGGCCTCTCTTTAGAAAGGAGGTTTTGGCCTAGTATACTACGCTGGCCAGATGAGTTAGCATACGATTTGTTTCAAGTTTACTTCATTTTTGCAGTGCTGTTGTACTGCGTAGTTTGCTTAGTCGGCTCTTACGACACCGACGGAATGTATAGGATGATGACAGTTCGTATTCTTACGGATAGTAAGTTAGTAAGTTTGCATGTTTCTAATTGTAAGAATCGATCAGGAAGGCAACGAAAACGTTAAGTCTAGAATCGCAGGCACAGCGCGTGCTTTTCCAGCGTCCTGTTACGCACTTTCGTCCTTTTCAAGAAATCACTCCCACAGATTGCAGAAGTGCGAGAGGAACGATGTTACATACGATAAACTACAATCAATGTATCTTATGTAGTAATCGAACTCGAAGACCTTTTGGCAATAAGCCCAGTTACAAAAAAAAACATTCTTTAACAGCTCACAAAACTTCAAAAAGTAATATGAGTTCTACTATCTACGTCATTTCTCTATGATCGTCGTTACTAAGCTTTATCTGTTAGACTCGTTAAAACAAAAATTTGGTTGAACACCGAACTCGAGGGCAGTTGATATGACAATTAGAATAAGTTTTAGATTGTGGTAATTTAATTCCAAAATTGGTTCATAATGTTAGTTGTAAGCGAAGCTTATAAAAGCATATTAAAAATAAAAAATAAATCGGTACTAACTCGTGGTAAATCAAAATGCGGCACAGCTCTTACTTCAGGGCACTTTCTTTTATCGATATACTTTGTTGAAACACTCACGAACACCAAGCACATCACTATTAACAATATTTTTGCCATGATTTAAAAAAATATATATTCTATCTTTCGAATTTAGAAAGGACTTAAATTCATAGAGCGTTTAAATGTTCCGAGTGTCCGTATTGTACTAACAAAAAGGAATTGTTATCATTTGGTATGGGACGCCAGCTAATGTTGGGAATGCTGACAGCATGCCATTATCTCTATGACTCATTATTGTTTTGTTATAAATATTTAATGTCCATTTTCGATCTTTTAAAATGTTGTTTATTTATGTGCATTATTTTTCAGATTATGAAATGATGGTACCTACTTGCTTATCATAATATTGTTGTGTTAAGTCGTTAGTTGAAGGTCAGTACTAACTATGAATTGAATCAAAATATCACATTTTAAATTCATTTGTTCCAGAAAAGCAGTGGCTATTCAAAATACATCAACTTTATTTTCTTGGCCCGTACTGACTTATGTTTGAGTTCGTAAGATGTAAAATAAAAATTGGGTTTGGCTGGTTTATTTTATATGCACATTATTTTTTATTGATTCTTATTCACGACACTTATAGCATATAAAAAAATTACGATGGGGGAGGCTTGCACATCGACACAAATGGCAACACATCATATATAACCGGCGGCACTGAGCGAGGATGACGGAGCCCAAAGCTTTCTTCGCTATTATTCTGGGGGAGAAGACTCAAAAGGCTACAAAGAACTTGTGTCTTTTGCGGTAGGCACATACCATCAGGGCCTCAATTCTGCTATTTTATGTTTACGACAAGCCAGTGTCATACCACTGACACGCTATTGAGATGCCATCGAGTGGCCATTGGCATCGGTATAAATATCGGTAGTTAAAAATATATTACGTTTTTTGATGAAATGATTTTATTTTATTCTTATTATAATAAATTATTAAAAGAAATAAATAAATTATTAAAATAAAAAAAATAATAATTAATAAATAATTTCCTTATTATTTGAAAATATATTACGTTTTTTGAGGAAATGATTTATTTATTTTTATTATAATAAATTATTAAAATAAATAAATAAATTAAAACAAGTTATGAAAAACTAAAAGATAAAATTATAAAAAAAAAGAATTAAATAAATTATTAACAGAAAAAAATAAAAATAATATTAATATAAATATATTTTCAAATTATAAGGAAATGATTTGTTTATTTAAATTGCTTTTAATTTCAATTTTTTTTTTCATAGTTTTTTTAATTCTTTTTTTTTATAATTTTATTTTTTTAATAATTTACTGAGGAAATGACTTTAGGAAATGACTTATTAATTTAAATATTTTGTTTTATTTTAATAAATATTATTTATCTTTTTTTAATAATTTCATGTTTTTAATAATTTATTTATTTATTTTAATAATTTATTTATTTCTTTTTTATAATTTTTATATTTTATTCCTAAATAATTTATTTTAATTTATTTATTTCTTTTTTTATAATTTCTATATTTTATTCTTTAATAATTTATTTTAATTTATTTATTTCTTTTAATAATTTATTAAAAACAAATAAATCATTTCCTCAAAAAACGTAATATATTTTTAACTACCGATATTTATACCTATGCCAATGGCCACTCGATGGCATCTCAATAGCGTGTCAGTGGTGTGACACTGGCTTGGCGTAATAGCAGAATTTAGGCCCTGGTAACATGTTTGCTCCTTTGCCTCCTATACCATAAAAAAATATTCTAAAGTGAGAGTTGACGGCTTACCAATTCGTTTTAAATTTATTTTTTGCTTCCATAAACCACTTATCACTACTCAACGTTACTAATGGTAGTAATCAAATTAAATTTGATAAGTAATGAATCGACCTACTAGATAAACTGTAATTATTGTATACTGATCTAAAAGAAACTGGCTATTCCAGTAACTTTTTAAGTCAGTCTAAAATATAAAAATCTACAAACATTATTTATTTTAAATAACAGTTACATACATTTTTACTACTTGAACGGAGATAAGGAAAGCCTCTGGCGTGTAAAGGTGGTCGGAGAGGTATTTTTTATTTCATTAAAACTACCCAAAACTAAACAAAATGTGAACCTAACGTTCACATGAACAGTTCCTGAGTTAGTTCTTGGGATTGGTATTGGCATGCAACATTGCATATACTATTAAACGTATATTGTATTAAACGCCTAAACGCCTAAATGTTGCAGACTATAATTTTAATATATGGCGACTTGAAACGAAGAAATATACTACAGCGCCATCTAACAAAAACACACCGAACTACGGAGCAACTGCTAATTCTGTATCTCGATATTAACAATTGTTTCGCCGATTAGCATACATACAACTTTACAACATGAACTGTTGGGCCGCGGCCCGCAAGACATGATCACATCGCCTGGTCGGAGGATCCTACCTTAGTGTTGGAGGGACATGATACCTGTTCATCCACAAATCCTACTAACGTAATAAATTAACACTAACGTAATATAGTGGCAAGCCTGTTGCCATCAACGAGCACTAGGAATTATTTAAGAAAAGCGGATGTTCAATATAAAAGGAAAAGTTATTATGATTTGATGGCAATGGTAGGTCGGCAAGCAGTAGGTTAGGGTCGTATATCCGTCACTGAAACTAGCTGTTTCCGGGCGGTCCGAGCCTTTAACTGTAACTTATATCGCTATTACAACAACGATTAATGTATAAAATTATTAAGAATAACAATAAATATGTGGTTATAGGGTTCGGCGGCATTAATTTTCAGGTAATTAACCTATATCGAGCAAAAGACAATTGTTTACATAAGTGCCATCATCATCATCACCAGCCCTTAGTAGTCCATCGCTGGACACAGGCCTCTACTTAGAAAGGAGGCTTTGCCCTTTTTTTTGTTTACAGGGTGGAAAATCCACTGTGTGTGTGGATTTAGGAACCAGCAGTATGTAATGTTACTATAACCACGTGTGCTTGACGGGTTGGTATAGGGTTTTTTTTCAAGTTTTCCTTTTCTTTGCAGTGCTGTTGACCTGCAGAGTGATGAATAGGGGTGGTGACACTGCATGGACAATTATGTGTAATATACTCGTATGTGTGAACACATTTGTATAATAAATAATTACGTATATTTTGGGTTTCGCGACATATATTTTTTTATTTATTGATTTCAGTTGTTATATGTTTTTTATATAACTTTCACATCAACATCAACAACTATCAATATCCACAACATTTTTTCACAATTGATGTTTTATTGACCTTAACAGTATTCACAACCCTTTGAACTGATGAAATTGTTAAATTTCGGCCTATCCTTTTTGGTTGATTTAATTTAATTTAATATACAGGATTAATTAAACAGGATATTCTTCTTAAGCTTTACGAGATTAATTATAATGATAAAGGCAACCTTATCTATGCATTACTGTAACCAAAACAAGTAATTCATCTGCTTTTATGGTCACCTCTCCGCTTCAAATCCGTACCCAAATCGTCACCAAGAACTGCAACAATATTTATTGTAATAAAGTACTACTTACAGGGAAAGATTAATATAGCCTTTGCGTTAGTTAAATATCAAATTGAAAGTCGTGTGTCGTCGTGTCTGGAGAAGCACTTGCCTAATTACAAAAACAAATGTTTAAACGGTGAGCGATGATATTTAATAGATTTTTATTTATTTTTGAACTCATTATGTCCTAGATATGGGCTTTTAAGCAATATTTACGTAGATTTACTGTTTAGATATGGAAATTTTGTTAGTACATTTAATAAAAAAGAAAATGAAGTAAAGTTATCACGCTCAATACATTATAAATATATGGGAATCACCATGGTTTCAAACGAATCACTCATGTCATATCTGAATACATTATGGACGTGTTAAGAGTCTGGTTTGGTAAATATTATCTTCATTTATAATTATATGAGGTCAAGAAACATGGCCCTCCCCTTTTTTTCATCTCATGTATTTGAATTATGTAGTCATAAAAACTTGCTCATTTGAGACTTTTTTCTATTAAGAATAACTATCTATTTTATAAATGGCAAAAAAGTAATACTGAAATACATCTACTACAATACATACAAATACAGACCTACATTAAATATGACAGAACATCATTTGTAATAGTATTAAAACATTCTGTATGATCGTATTTGTATTATTCAATGTGATAATGGGCGTTGCTTATTTCCACATTTACGTCTTGGGGGTCTATAACTGGTCCTTTGCTAGTATCGATCACAATTTAACGTTAAGTTCTTCCTAACTGATTTCCTATTACTGGCCAAGGAGCGTACGACGGCCGGCAACATACGTAGCTAGAAATCCACTGCAATGACCCGAGCAAATTGCGAACCTGTGCTGAGCTGACTTCTTACTGCAGACAGGCGGGACTTAATTCCCTTCTAACGACGAGGACAAGTACTTCACGAATACCTGTGTCAGTCGGAAGGAAAGGGTCCTTGCTGCAGCCCTGCCCACGGCGGCGGAGCGATTCCAGGGCGGCAAAACCAGCACACGGAGTCCGGGAATCCGGGAGAGGGCCGACTGCCGCTATACGCTCGGTACACGCTCATGGCTCTATGGTATATAACCGCCAATATCCTCTGAGGGCCCCAGAAGCGCACCCTATTCTGGGCGGTCAGAGCCGCACAGAAAGCACTGTACAGTGCCATTGACCGGACAGCCCCCATCTACAGCCGTCTCGTCGCGACGCTGGGTCCACCCAGATTAGGCAAAAGTTGCCCACGGGCAGACGCAGTCAGCCTTAGTGGTCGCTGGCTGCGTCTGCTACTCAGGGTCGGATGGATCCGATCTGAAAATGGCACGACACGATTCGTGTAATTGTATTTGGACATACGAGTATGCCCCGTGTGCATAGATATTTTTTTCATAACCTTTCTTAATCTTTCATCACAGTAACAGGGTCAACTAAATTAATATCGATAGTCGAAAAAAAAACTGTTCTACCTTGAACGTACGCGTATATATTACAGTTACAATTAACTAGAATAAAATAATTTCA